GAGGTTGATAAATATATTTATTTTCGGCTAACGTTTCGACGTCTTCGTCTTCCTCAGAGCCGGTGATCCGAGTCGATGGTCCATGCTTGTTGTTCGCCTCGACGTTGCGTCTTCGCCTTCGTGTCGAGCCAGATCTTCCTCAGCGAGCCATCTTCTCGAATCGAGATTTCCAAAGATTCGAGAAGATGTCTCACTGAGGAAGATCTGGCTCGACACGAAGGCGAAGACGCAACGTCGAGGCGAACAACAAGCATGGACCATCGACTCGGATCACCGGCTCTGAGGAAGACGAAGACGTCGAAACGTTAGCCGAAAATAGATATATTTATCACCCTCGTGTAAACTTATCAAGAAAGAATACATATTGTTTAGTCACACCGAGGTTCAAGGAAAGTCGGTTTCGAAATTTTACTACGCTTTGTGCTAGCTAATAATAACGCCGACTTCTGCAGGTTTGATTATCCGGGAAAAACAAGTTATTATCACACTATCACCGGACAGTCACAGCTATCGACCATCAGCAACCTGCATAAAAGGGCATCACTGAGTGAGGATGCCTCATTCGAGAAGATGGCTCACTGAGGAAGACCTGGCTCGACACGATGGGGAAGCTGCCACGTCGAGACGAACAACAAGCATGGACCATCGACTCGGATCACCGGCTCTGAGGAAGACGAAGACGTCGAAACGTTAGCCGAAAATAAATATATTTATCAACCTCGTGCAAGCTTATCAAGAAAGAATACAGAATGCATAGAGATAATAGGGTTCCTAGAAGAAGAGGCGTACAAGGAATGGTGACCATATTTTATTTTTCAGTGTATCTGTATGCAGTAACTGAAACACTATTGCAAGTCAAATCTGTTTGGAGCAGCATGGTTCGAACTTGCTGATCGCCAAATTCTAGTCAGTGGTCCTTAATAGCATAACAGTTATTAGGGAATGTTAGGCCATTAGTGACCATTCGACCAGTGGCAACAATTGGACCATTAGGGATCTTTGGACCACTGAGAACCACTTACGATTAAAAACGATCGGACGATTAGGAACTATAGAACCATTAGGAAGCATTGGACCATTGGGGATAAATTGAGACCATCAGGAAATATGGGACAACTACAGAAGATTGGACCATTAGGAGCCGTTGCACAGGAGAGACTATCAGGAAGAATTGGAACATAGGGCTCCGTTGTGTCATTGTCAATTGAGATGCGATCTACTCAGCCAAACACTTTCATAACCCTAGCAGATAAAACTTGATAAATCGATTTGTGTTCGCATAAGAAACAGCTTCATTCAAACACCTACCGTTTATTTGTCGTAAGTATTTAAGTTAGTTGGTGGATAGCCGCCGCACAGAGTAATACATGGTCGATAACTGGGTCCATGTCAGATCATTGGATCAGCCTGAGGTATGGCGCTAGGTCACGCGTGATGACAAGACACTCCCCGAACTTTCGGGTACAGTCTATCTGATCTCTTATAAAGCGTGCGGCACGAATATGTTGGCGAAACGGGTAGACCGCTCTGCGTCCGCATAAGAGAACACCTAGTCGGTAAATCTAAACTAAAACACAATACTCCACTAGGCGCGCATAGGATGCAAGAACACAACGGAGAAGATTTTGAGGTAGGAGTCACTATCCTTACGCAGGAATCGAAAACATCAGCGCGAAAAACTCTTGAAGCGTTTTGGATCAATGCCAAAAATTCAAAAATGAACCGCAAGGAGGAGTGTCTTGTCATCACGCGTGACCTAGCGCCATACCTCAGGCTGATCCAATGATCTGACATGGACCCAGTTATCGACCATGTATTACTCTGTGCGGCGGCTATCCACCAACTAACTTAAATACTTACGACAAATAAACGGTAGGTGTTTGAATGAAGCTGTTTCTTATGCGAACACAAATCGATTTATCAAGTTTTATCTGCTAGGGTTATGAAAGTGTTTGGCTGAGTAGATCGCATCTCAATTTGACCTTTCCAGGCTCTGAAGAAGGCGAAACCGCCGAAACGTCAGCAATTGTGTTCTAATAAATTCTATATTAACAACCTCGTGTCTGCTTATTGATGAAAAACATTGAATGCGAAGTATTTGCTTTCGGATTATATGAAGGGTAGTGCAAAACCGTAGACAGAAAGTCGGATAATGCTGGGTTTTCATTAGAATGTTATTATTTAAGCACATAAGGTTTCAAATCTCTTCCACTGCTTGACTGTTGGCTTGCCAAAATAACTGAAACTGAAGTCGAGAAAATGGCACCAGACTAGTCGGTAAGAGTTCATTTCTTGTGACCTATATGTGACTCCTGTAGCTTGATATTCAGGATATGAGATAGAGTCGGCTCAACTACCGCGGAGCCATATTCATAAAAAATTCGGTAATCCACGTGCAGCAGTTAACCCAAATGCGATAAGTTCGATATCTTTTGCTGATGGTTGATGCGGAAGAACGAGTCCAATTCAAGAAGTGTAGGGTTTTTCAGAGTAGGTGGGAGGACGCATCATTTAAAAAAAATAAGCGCATTTCGATGCGAAGTGCCTCTCGATTCTAAAGCGCTACACTCTTTCTTTGATAAAAAGCCGTATATTATCAGGTTGTGGAAGGATTCATTGGACACGAACATCAAACGCATGTTCTTCCATTTGCGTCGACAAAATTTTCAAGCATTTTAAAAGTCATTTGTCAGAATATAGGGTTTCAAAGCGAAAAGAAAAACGAGCAGACCTCGAAACTGCGCAAAAATGCAACCTGTTCTAAATCGAAAGCTCACACCGCCGTTGCCCAGCCCCTCTTGCCACGTGTTTACCACTGCTCCGCTAAACTGATTACCTACACAGCCGATAGACCACTACACTGTAGACATATCTACCAGTAGGCATTCAGCAAATTTGATCATATCCATAGAATAATGAAAGAACGCGAAGTACAGCGAAAAAAAATGAAACATCTATTAATAACTCGAAAGACCGACTTTCTATAAACCTCGGCATAGATAGTTGATATATTTATTTATGTGATCTTATAGACTGATCTTCTTAAGCTGACGCGAGGTTGGTACAGATCTTCGTTGTCGTCGTCTTTGTTGTTATTGATCGATGCCATCGATGGTCTAGATGGTTTTGACTATGCTCGCCTCATCCTCAATTGTTCACTCTGCAGAAAATCGCAGAAATCACAGTGGTCTGACAGAATGATCAGATGACAATTTATTGTGCCTTTGAAAAAAAAAATTTTTTTGAAAGCTTTTAAAATGAAATACTACGTCATAGCGCATCGTCTTCGGCCATTTAGCTAACCAGTCTACTTGAAATTTTTCATACATCGAGCAGCGAAGAAACAGTCCATCCGCTACTGTAAAATCGAAGTTTCGAGTGAAGCAGTAAAAAGTTCGCATATTTGTTTCAAGTCCCATATAGGATTATTAACCTAACACGAGATGGTTTCAAAACTTCACTTGGCTGACGTTTCGATGTCTTTATCTTCTTCAGAGCTGGATCGATTCAAGGAGATTTCTCACGTCTATTCGTCTTCACGATGTAGGGTTTCGTTTTAGCATTGAGTCGAATCGGTTGGAGTGGAGCACCGATCGAATCACAAAACTCACCATGCGGGGCCCTTTTATACAGAATGAACGTTGGTCCATTGTTTTCATCCAATATGCTATGCCTAGGGGTGAAAATACTTCCTTAATCAACAATAATGGTCACCACTGAAAGAGGTTCCTCATTCGATCGGTGCTCTACTGCAGTAGATTACACCCTATGCCACAGCCGGCACACTAGATCGCGAGGAAGAATTGCTGTCGAAGATCGACTCAATTATTGTGGCTCCGAAGTAGGTGCGGGTGCCGAAACGTTAACCGTATAAAGCTTTGTAAAAACCGTTTCTTAGCTTGATAATCTAAAAGAATGCTGATTAACTCCCATAGCCGGCTTTCTATTAACCTTGTCATTGGTCAATAATTCGCTGTTTTCTTGATGAGCGAGCCTAAACGAGGTTGTTATTGTACTCTTTATCACAGAGATACTGACGTTTTAGCAGGGTTCGCTTTCTTCAGACGCTCGAAAGGTCAAGTTGGCTACAATTTAGTTAGCTAAACACCCACATAACCCTAAGAGAGAAACAATGGGACCTAAATTTCGACCGCATTGGAAACGAAACAACATTTCCAAGCTCTCCGTTTTCTATGAATCTTCTCTATGAGACCTCGCATGATAATGAGGCACTCTTCATTGCAGCTTATTTTTGAGTAACTGCCACGACCGACTTTCTATTAACCTCGGCATTGATCAAGTGATTTTCTTCGTATTTTTGTTGAGCAAACGCGAGGTGTTACTATTCTTTGTTCACGATTAAGCTGACGTTTCGGCGGATTTCGCCTTCTTCAGAGCCTGGAAAGGTCAAGTTGATAGCAATCCACTCGGCCAGACGCCTCCATAACCAAACAAAGAAACTCCAAACCAAGATTTCAACCTCGCGTTTGCTCAACAAAAATACGAAGAAAATCGCTTATTTTTGAATTCTTAGAATTTGTGTAAAATACCTCGAAAACTTTACACGCCAAAGTTTAGACTCCTATGCGAAGACGGTCACTTCTTCTTCGAAACTTTCCTCATTAAGTATCTGTGTTCTGTGCGCCTAGAGGAGTACTTCGCTTAGTTTTAAGTTAACCGTGTAGGTGTTTTTTTATACGGAGACGTAGTGGTCTACTCGCTTCGTCAATATATTCGTCCTTACACGTTTATATTATGCAATTTTGCGCTGAACATAGACGGATAGACAATCTGGTTTGCAATACAGACGTTTAAGAGTGTTCAGTGGTAATTTAGTCTTGTTACCGATTTCTCGAGAGCGGTCATTTTTGGCCAACTTTTATGGCTGTGTTTATTTCGTCAGAAATCAATTTCATGATAAACAGAACCTTATTCTGGCTGGAATTGCAGCTTGTTGTCTTTATTTTTTCTCTAAACCAACACCGAAATGCTCCTATTTTATATCAGTTGGAAAAAGTTACTTTCCGCGCCAAGGATAAAACGCAATCAGAAATGCTTCGTTATCACTGGCGATTTAACGCAGTGTTAAAACTTATATCTTAACGTGGAAGGGGCTCACCAGCCATCTATGTGCGATGTGTACACTTGGTGTACACGTTGAATATTTTGTAGAAGACTCATAAAAAGCGGTGGGTGTGTGAAAAACATGGTTTGAAATAGACTGGAACTTCGTTTTCTTCGTTTTGCTACGGTTTACCGCC